ACATATGACTGAGGTGCTCTTGGGGGAAAATGATTTCAAGGCTTTGCTTCTGTTCTTTTTTTCTTTCCTAACTTCTTAAAAATGCTCAGGTTTTTTCCAACTCATTAACTGAACTTAAATATTTTTCTTAAAAAACAGTTAAGTGATTCTTTTATCTTTAAACTGATAAATTGTACAGATAATACATTTTGAATAAATTTTGCAGTCATTTCATCTGAGGTACTGATGAAGCAGGCGTTTGTGTTTTAAAAAATAATTTTATTGAGAAACAAAGAGCAATGAGACAGTTTCAAACCCGATTAGCAGGACAGTTTCAATAATTAATACATTGTATATTGTTGTCTTCTTAGTGGTTATTCATAGTACAAGATGCAGACATGATATCCTGTCCACAAATACTGTTAGAACAAATCTTTCTTCTCATTGAATTAAGAGAAACTAGCTATATATCTATCCTAATTATTTCGAATATACAGATACCAAACGCTCCTTCATTTGTATCCCCTTTTTTTGTTTAGTTTTGACAGAGAAGGGTATTTCATTGTCATTTAAATATTGTAAGTGTGTGAATTTATGTATAGAAATGAGAATAGTTTGGAGAATGGTTCTGAATACTTTCTTCTTTGGATGGACCTTGCCAAATAGGCTTCTAAAAAGCTTCCCCAATATAAACCAAGTGCCCATGTATGAGTCTGGTTCACACTAGCCAGTATGAGTGAGGACTAGTAAGCTTTTATATGTGTGTTTCCTTCACTATTTGTCAGGGTGAACCCTACTTTAAAGAGAAGTATTCTTTATTTTATCAGCTGTAAATATTTATATGATGCTGTTTTTTGCTATAAGCTTTGTGTATCTCTCCAAAGGAAAAAGCACTTGACCCAAGCCAAGAGGGAAAGTAAGAGTTAACTGGGGGATGGGTGTGTTAGAGTGGGAACTGCTCTTGTGAAGGTTCTGGCAGTTTTCAATAGTTAGACATGAGAAGGACAGGCTGCATAAGGACAAAAATGCTGGGGAGCCTCCAGACAAGTTCCATGAGAACACCGGCCTTCTCTGCCACTCACCATCCTCTCCTCTACCCCTAGAAGACGAATGGCAAGGGATGGTCAATACTGGCCAGGTGAACAGAGTAGTGAACACTGCCTGCTGAGGATGTCTGCAAGCCTCCACAACAGCACGTTTCTTGACCCCGGGAATACCTGGGAATTTTGCAGAAAGACCCAACCTGCAGACTCACTCTCAACCAATGGTAGTAGAGAAGTTAATAAACACCCCCACTTGCTACTCCCAGGAACAAAAAATGCCGAAGCGTGTCCCACACTGACCGACAGTCCCAAATGACATTGTCCTCTATTTCCTACAGTGACCAAGCCCTCTGTGTCACTAGGAACTGCCAGGGCTTTCTCAGAGCACTGCTAGCTTCTCACCTTTCTACTCATGTGCCTGGGATCGGTCACAAATAGGGTATTTGCACATAAATCCTTTCCTGAGGTTTGTCTGCTGGAGAAACCAAAACAAAAGGCAAGCAGGAAGGAAGCTGATTAAGAAATGTGAAATTTGTCCAGGGATAAAGAAGAGAGATTGAGAGTAATAAGTGAAGTAAAAGGACCAAATGCGTATTTGCATAAGCTTATTCTGGTTGCTGTACAATGCATGCATTTGGGGAAGGGAACTGAAAGTAAGCTCAGTCACTGGGAAATGTTAACAATATAAATATGGAGGCGAATCAGGTTTCATGAGTAGATTTGTGAGATAACCAGAAGGAGGAATGTCAGAATGTGCTGAGCACAGGAACAGTGAGGCATAGAGATGTGTCTCGGGGGGGTGTTCTGGGCTGTGTACTTGAAACGACCGTGTGAATGCAACCAGGAGACCAGAGTTGGAGGAAAGTAGCACAAAGGGGAGGGAAAGAATAACCGTACTCCAGTGTGCTGCTTCGAACGGCCCGTTTTTTTCTAGCTTGCTGCCAATCTTCCATTTATTTCAAATACTGTGCTGATTAGGAAACCATAGGGAAAATTTTATCTATAAAGAAGTAGCCAAAGAATTCATGGGACTGGAAATTCCTTTGAAAGCTTTCTGCCATTCTTTCAAATCTCTCTTATCTTTATATAACTAGTAAGAATTGTAAATTCATAATATGCCCAGAACTGCTGGAAATGACATATTCCTCTCTCCTCCACAAGAATGCTTTTCCAGCTAACAGGAGTTTAGCTCACAGCAGCAACACCAACTCAGACAGCCCCTGTACAAAGTGAATGCAAGAATGGAGACTGAGTTTTATAAGAACAAGAGAAAATGGTTTATAAAACCAGTTTGAAGATTATATGACAACAATGTGTGTTTGCAGTCAGGGGCTAGAATTCACCTGTCAAGATCAAACATACTTTCCCTACACTCATAGAGTTGAACAAGAAAACAGAAAGCTTGAGCAAAAATGAATTGTGTATTCACACACATACACACACACACACACACACACACACACACACACCTAATAATAGAAAAATTATACCACAGATTACAAATGGCTCAAATATTTAAAAGGCCAGTTTTCTGATTATGAATATTCAGAATCCTTCCTACACAGATTTTGTTCCAAATATGGTATTACTTTATTAGCATTGTAGAGTTGTATAACTTTGTCTTACAGAATCCTGTTATGTAACTGTAATCTTCTTTATTAGCAGTTTCTTCATCAGAATAATTTCACATTTGCTAGTCTTATCAATTTAAAAATATATATTGCTAATATAATTTCTGATGCAAAATAATTGTATACAATTTTACACTTCAGTATGATGTTTTGATACATGAATACAATGCAGCATTATTAAATCAAGCAAATTAACAAATCCATCACCTTCTGTATCAATCGTCTCTCTTGGTCAGACATTTGTAATCTACCGTCTTTGTTATGTGAGACATGCAACGTTATTGCTGACTGTAGTCACTCATCTAAGCAGTAGATTTCATAGCCTATTTCTACTAAGCCAGGAACAGAAAGACAAATATGGCATGGTCAAATATCTATGTGGAATCCACTAAAATTGATCTTGTGAAAGTAGAGAAAAGAATGGTAGCAAGAGGCTACAGGAGGGGAGAGTAGGACAGTAGAAGAGCTGTTAATCAAATGGTGCAGTTTCTATCAGCTCTTAATTTCTTACTTTTAATGTTCTGTGCTTTTAAAATACATAAATAAGCTATTTTAAATTGTATCAGAAAGAGCATAAACAGCTAAATGGAGTGCTGTTTTGTAATAGTTACTTGACTACATGAAACAGTGAAAGGTCATGGATTTGTAATGGGATGTTAGCATTTTTTTCATTTTTATTAATTTTATTGAGAAACAAATAGCAATGAGACAGCTTCAAAACCGATTGGTAAGACAGTTTCAATAATTAATACATTGCATATTGTTGTCTTCATAGTGGTTATTCATAGTACAAGAAGCTAACATGATATCCTGTCCAAACACCATTAGTATAAATCTTTCTTCTCATTGAATTAAGAGAAAGTAGCTGTATATCTATCTTAACTATTTTGCATATACAGATACATAATGGGCCTTCATTTATATCCCCTTTTTTGTTTACTTTTGCCAGAGATAGGTATTCCATTGCCATTTAAATATTGTAGGTACATGATTCAGCAAAATAGTCCAATATAGTCCAGTAGTCCATAATAGTAATGGGTCATCCACAGGACTGGCAATGTCAGAAGTTGTTGACTTGAGCCTTTTATAGTTCAGCATATTAATACAACTTTAATTTTTATACCTCCTTTTTATACTTTTCTGCTGGATGGTTCAGCCCAAGATAAAGCAAGACCTGTATAGCAAGAAATGTAACTTTTGTATTTGACAAGGTCAGTCAAATCCCCTCAGGATTTACCCTGAAACCCTGTACCGCAGTTTGTAGATCCTTTGTCAGTGTCAGTCAACCATGTAGATGAGTCACGGCCATTTTTTTTCCCCAGTTCAGCATGCTCTGAGGGCAAGGCTGGCGTAGTATGTGGTGCTGATGACCTAACTTCAGTCCCTTGTGCCTGCCTATGCTTGTCTAAGCAGTTGCTTTGAACCACTGAGGTTTCTCACCAGCCCTGGAATTTTGAAATAGATCACACAAGTCCATATCATTTTATCTATATCTAGTTGGTCTGCCTCTTTACTACCTTCAGTCACTATGAAAACTGTATATTAAAAATAAAATTAGTTATAAATGTTCCTTAACTACAAGAGAGGGAAACCAAAAATGTTTATTTTCCTTGTTACAAATCAGAGGAGTTCACTGTTTATTACAACTACAGAATCACATTTTTCCAAAGGAGTAAAATGAAATCAAAACAAAAGCCTCATAAAAATTCTTTGAGATTATAGCTCTTTCCTTGCTGTCCTTTAACAGACAGGATAACTTGCCCAAAATAGTTACTATAAATTAGATTTTATATTTAATATATATGTAGTATATACTCTGTTTTATAATGTCTTCCTCCATCTCAATATGAATGTATGTATTTATTGCTTTGTTTGTTTATTCTCTTGTTTTCTTATTATTCAGCCCCAGCCTATGCCCAAAAGGACTCAGAGAAATATACTATTAATTATTTAAAATTATTATTTTAAATAATATTAATACTTTGATATCATTAATATTCTTGTTTTCTGAGATACTTTTAATTATCTCTTAATGTCATGTTATTGAATTATATTGAGAATTCTAAAGCAAGGTCTTTCTTGGGTTTTCTCTTATTGTCATGGATCTCATGAGTAATATAAACTGGATAACTGGGATCCTGTGTGTCACTAAATAATCACTGTATTAAAATCAAATGAATTTGAAACATCTGAAATTCTATCTCCTATGCTCCTCCCCATTTTCCTCCTTCCTTTAAACTTATGTGACAAGCACCTTGGCTGTGCTTGCTGGCAGGTCACCTCTGTCCTCCACCTCATTCCGACTCATGGCACCAACACCATTGACACCCCTCTCCTTCCTCCTTAGCGATCCCCAGCTCCAGCGTCCTCCCTTCTGCGCCCAGAGACGTGGTCCCTGTCTTGGTTTCCAGTCGCTTTGTCCGTCTCAGTTGGCGACCACCTGCAGAACCAAAAGGAAGTATTCAAACCTTCACAGTCTTTTTCTCCAGAGAGGGTGACAACAGGTAGGTGCTACCAACAATTTTCAGTGCAATCTGCCTTCTCTTTAAATGTAGAACTATACTTATACTGGATCTCAAAATGCTTTACTTTCTAGTTGACAGCCATAGCTAAAGTATATCCTATTTAAGTTTCTATTTTCCTTTTCAATTTGACTTGAATTTAAGATAAAAAAGAAACACACACACACACACACACACACACACACACACCCTTATACTCTCTAAGATCATTTGTTACTATGAAAAGGAGATAGGCATTTTTTTTTTATTCTTGTCTCTACAAATGTTCGACTCCATGACCTTATGATGTTGCATAAATTCTTTGCAGCTCATTCCATGTGTGCAGTTATGAAAACTGGAAGTAATATTTCTTGTTCAATCATTCTCATGTCTTTACATACTTTTCCTGGAAGAGCTTTGAATTCAACATGCCAGACACCATGCTTACTGTCTCCTCCTTAAATTCATATTTTCCTCTCCCTTTTGCTTTGTGTTATTACCTTCCATCCAAGTGACCAAGCAAAAAGTCCAAGTCATGATTCACTCCTCCCTGACTTTCCACACAGGTGCTTGCCACCAAGTCTAGTCTAGATCAGCTCTGCCCAGCTCAGTCGGGCCTCCTTCTTCAACCCCCTTCACCAGCATCAATTTGGTTCCTCAAAATAGCTTCTCCCCTTCTAATCCAGCAGTAGTTTCATTTGTGGAATACAGGATAAAAGCCAGAGTTGTTCAGCAGTCAGCATGTGTGCTGGAAAAGACTGTGCATACATTGAAAACTCTAAAAGATGAGCCACCATTCATGTAGATCATAAACTACTGCTGAAAACTGTGAATGTTCTTACATTTGAATAGAATCAAAAAATATAGACATATACATGCAAATATATTTATATATACATTTCCAAAATCTTTTGAATATAAATCTACCCCGAGGTGCATACATTTAGAAGTATAGTTCCTATGACCATTAATGATCAAAAATATGTCACTTAAATCCAAATGGCAGGATTTGAAGTTTCACTGTATCAGATTTCTGACTTTTATGTATTTTTTTTCATGGGAAAAGCATAATACCTCCATTTCAGGATGGATTCAAAAACATAAGTAATATGTCTCAGGAAATAGTTGTAAAAACTTAATGACAGAGGGGCCAGGGATATAGCTCAGTAGAATAAGTGCTTGCCTGGCAAGCACAGTGTCCTGAGTTCAATCCCCAGTACCACAGGAGGGGGGAAAAAACCTTAATGAAAGAATTCACCTATAGCAATAGTATCAAACCTACAGCATGTGTGCTACAGTGGACAGTTACTGTCTTTGAAATCTCTGCAAGGTTCCCCTTCACTGACCTAAATAGTTCAGGGCAGTCATTGCACAAAGCAGAGTAAAGGGGGTAAGAAAAGGATGGGCTCAGAGATAATGTGGAAAAGAGACTCACAGAAGGCACAGCAGATGGTAAGGTGAAGAAGAACAAGAAGAAAAAGATGTTAGTTATATTTTTAAGTGAACCATTTACTTTTGTAATTGCTCATGATTTTGTGCTTATAATACAATTTTATAATTTCATCTTCTATGGAACTTTAAGCTTTTGCTTGTTCTTATGACCAGAACTTAGTCTTGCTCACTGCATCACCTATGTTATCTCTGTTTTAAGCATCATCCCCTTCATTACTTTCCAGACTTTCCCCTTCCTGTCTTCTGCTTAGATCACTTCTCACAACAAGATTTTGTTTCCAATGTGATCTACATTTCATGGACCATACATTTTGGTCACTGTTAACATTTCATGGATAATTGTTGCAGATTTTTGCCCATACTTACCAAGACAGTACTTGGGTTGCTACTTTCTCATTTTGTGTCACTTATTTTATTTATTTTTATTTTTAAAAGGGTATAAATTAAAATTAAGTCAACAAAATTGCAAGTGATACAGATTTTTCACTTAACAAAGCAATAAGAATTTCACAGTATTTGTTGTAATACATAGTGTTATCTTCCTACTAGTTATTCATATTACCAGCTATATGCATGTAAAATTGGAAGAAGAAAGAAAAAAATGAAAGAATGTATAAGAAATTAAGATCAAAAGAAGAAACAATTGAAAAAGAGAGAGATGAAACAAATGAAAACATTAACTGTTTCTTATCATAGACCGGTAGAAATACACAGTACAGTTATCCAAACCATTGGGCTTACATGCATAGATAAATCTCTTTCCTCCACTCCCTCTCCTGTCCTCTTCCTCAACTCAATATCTCTTTTCTTTTGAATAAGTTCATTCCCTTTTCCCAGTGTCTATTGTGCTCTTTTGCTTCGATGTTTCTATTTCAGGTGCTCACACTGAGGAGACAATGTGATGTTTGCACATGCGGGCCTGATTTATATCATTTAAGCATAGCCTTCTGTTGGTAAATGGATGTACCGCCTTTTTTTTTTTTTTTTTTTTTTTTTTTTTTTTTTTTTTTTTAGGACAAGGTCTACAGGTTCTCACTACTAGATTGGACTTGTAGTGATTCTGCTGTTTCAACCTCCCAAGCTCTGGGATTACAGGCATGTGTCACCATGCCCAGTCTCAATCGCTGGGCATCTGAATCTCAGGGCACCCCATGGGTGGGGTCAGCATGGCACACCAGGGATCAAACCCCAGCCACTGTGCTCTGCCTAAACAGGCACTTTAGTCTGCCAAGCTATTAGGCTGGCCCGATGTATCACTTGTCTAGCAAGCATTAACTTCAGTCTATAGATCTTTCCCCTGGTTCTGGCACTTGCATAGCTATGAATAGCTGTGTGAAAGGGAGAACTGGAATGAGACTTCTCACTTCCGATTCTTAACTGTAATCTCCTGGAGCCTATTAATACTGCTGCCAGTTATATACTCTTTTGTGGTCTCTCTTACACATATCTCTGAGTACACTGCATTCCTTTTCCCATCTTTTTAGACATTCAACATCTCTGTCCTTTCATTTGCTCTTCCAATTTCCTGAAAAGTCACAAGGCAGGTTCTACAAGAATTCATAGTCAACCCATCTGCACAGGTGTGACTTTAAGTATGTAATCTGTCTTTCCTCAAGTTTTTCTCCCTAAAACTCCTGTGCTCTGAATAAAGTCAAACTAACACTTTACACCAGATCTTAGCATTTCTTGCAGTGTGGAAGCACGCAGGTTTAGCCACTCTCCTTTCCTAAATATTCAATTTCTCCCACTTGGGGTATCATGTCTACCATCATATATAATAATAGAGCTGTAGCTTCTATTTCAACACATTCTTCCAGTTTGCTCTCCTGTGCTGCTCCATCATCTACTGCCTCTCAAGCCAATGTTTCCTGAATTATCCATTTTCATTCCAATATTTTATTCCATGTGCCAGTTATGATTTCAAATATCTCTGAAACTGCTCTCTCCTCAAGACCATGAATGACCTTCATGTTTCAGAAGTGAATAGTTAATTCTTGGTCCTCACATTACTTGGCCAGTAGCAAGTTTTGTCCCATTGACTCTTTTATAACACTCAATTTTCATTTGATTTATATTCATTATCTTCTCTTGGTCTTACTCCAACCCTTATGACCATCATTTTCAGACTCTTTCACATTTAATTATCAATCTCTCTGATCTGTAGATATTGAATTCTAGCACTCAGGCCTTGAGACTGTCTTTTCAAACCACATTATGGCTTTATATTCTATCAATAGGTTGATGCCTTCCAAATTTGTATCTCTGCTCTTAAATTTTATTTGTAATCTCATTTCTTACTTGATTTGTTAAGATGTCCCTCAGCATCAGGAAATTATGAAGAAAACAAAGTACTTGATTTTCCTCTACATCAACATGTTCCCTCCATATATTTTTCGTACCAGCAATTTCACTAAGCTCATTGAAATCTTTATCCGTCTCACTAAGCAAAAACCATTGGAAGCATTCCTGTTTTACACCATATACCAAATTCACTCATCAAGTCTTAAGTATCATCAGAATATACTCTCAATTATTTGAGACAACTCAATATCTGGTGTTTACTACAAAGTAATACAGAAATATTGGTTATAATTTCACATGCTGATCTAATAGATGGCACTAAAGGGGTTTATGTGCTATTCTAGTTTCTTCAAACTAGAAAATCTTCAATTTTCACAAAAGAAACTAAAATAAAAAAGAAATGAAGACAGGACACATACAGGACCCATCATTACTTTCCCTTCCTCCTGTATGAAGTGCTGAACTAGCATCCAAAGTCTGACATCACCAGAGCAATTGAGTCAATGTCCACAACTTAAGTTCATCTCTCTCCTTCCTCTGCTTCAAAACCCTCCAGGGAGCCTCTACTGCATTCAGAGAATTAGCAGAAACCTTGCTGTCCTGGCCTCTTGCTTCTTTTCTTCCCCCCTTATTCTTACCCGTCTTCTGTTTGTTCACTTCTCTACAGTCCTGTTGGCTTTCCTAGGTTTCCAAAATATACCTCAGGTCCTCATTACATACATTCACACTTGCTGAGTGATAGATTTAGAATGTTCTCATCCCCAGGTATGGATTATCCCTGAACCTCCACAAAGTCTTTGCTGAATTTCCATCTTTTGTAGATACCTTTCCAGGTCCCTAGTGCTCTCTGCCTTTTATTAATCTTTAGCTTCTATTACTTTTTACTTACTAACTTTGTATCCCTAAACACCTTCCTCCCCAAAATATAAGCTTCATATGGGAAGGATTCTGGGCAAAAATCCTAGAAAATATCTACTAATATACAGCTACTAAGTACTTCTAAATCTGAATCGCTTTCTTTCCCCTTTATCTCTTCCATTCACCTTTATTATATCACAAGTACAGAATTAGCCCAATTATCTAAACTAGCCTGTGTATATACATATACATTTCTTTTTCCCTTTCTTCTATTATACTGCTGATTTCTGCTGGTCTGTTGAAAGGAGTAGTTAGTGCTTAAATTTTTCCCTCTCTGTCCTTTTTAACTTTTCATATGATTCAGACCTTCTTTTAGCCAAAAAAGAAATCTG